TTTTTAAACAGGCTGTCATTCACGGTGTGCCAGCAGCTAGCTAGCCTCACCTCAGCACTCGCCTTTTCCCGTTTACATTTTTTTTCCTTTTCATGATTGACAGTTGTGAGGCTGTGCCCCCCCTGCCTCCCCTGACTGCACGTCACTGGTTTACATACAAAGAGGTTAGTATTTGCAAAAATTGAATTTGTTTCTGTTTTCATTACATGTCACAGTAATATCTGCTTATAATAATTACTGTAACCACAATTGACTATCCTACTGTGACTCAAATAATTTAACTCTTCTAGAGGATTCTGTAAATTTTAATCCTGCATACATGTAATCTATTTAAATTTGGGTCAGATAACATATATGTGTGCGTGTGTGTGTTTGTGTGTGTATATCTATATCTATCTTTCTATCTATCTATCTATCATCTATTTATCTATCTATCTTCTATCTATCTATCTATCTATCTATCTATCTATCTATCTATCTATCTATCTATCTATCTATCTATCTATCTATCTATCTAATGGTATTACAGTTCTGTACAGTTTTAACATTTATTTTTTACTATGTTATGGAATTACAATTGTTGATACTGCATTAATACATATGAAATTTCTGTAGAGCTTAATTAATTAAACAATAAGCTTTCTTTTAAATTAAAATGCAATTGGGGTGGACATAAGAATATTTACTTTGAATAAATAAATTCAGGGTTAGTTGAATAAGGAGTTCCTTCTGTGGAATTAAGGATGCATTTTGAGACTGATCCATCATCTTAAAGCTACTGACCACAAACAAGAAATCTTACAGTTTTCCTGCATCATTAAAAACATGGAAAATTCAACTTAGAGGTATTAGAGAAATAGTTACCGGTATAGACAAACCGTCCAGGAGCACCTTTACAGAACTGTTTGGACTTGTAGGAGAGGGTTACTTCAACAACTCCAGGAATGTGCCGGGGTGGAGTTTGAACTCTGATGGCATGGGGTGTTATCAGCTATAAAAATGACGGTAATAAATACAATTTTAGTCAAAAGTATTCTGATAGCACTTGCATTTATCAGCTTGCAGAATGAGCCTCAATTGAATCACCTTATCAAACTACTCCTATCTGGCTATCACAC